AAAAAAAAAAAAATGTAATAAATGCGTGTCGCGGCGCACGCAAACGGGATTTGCTCAGCTATTAGCTACGGGCTCATAGCGTCACTTCATAATCATCATTTAATACACGATCCTCGTTTTCAATGTACTGGGAGATATGTATCTGTTCCACCATGACAGAGTAACTGCTACGTATAAATTCATTAATATTACAGCTCTGAAGTAGCTCTGACCTTTCGTGTTAATAAAATTGGTGTCAGTATATTTTTAGATATAATATCAAGATGTTTATAGGCCTTCGCAATAATAAACCCGTTTTCAAAGTTATGTAACCCTGTAGGCCCTGGTACAAATCAGTACATGTTTGACTTGTTATTGGGTTATTATGGTTTCTCATGATGTTGACAGTTACTTACAATTTCTGCTATTTGAAATTGACTGACGTTTAGTTATTATACAAAAATAATATTTTAAGCAAACACTCTTCTTCTCATCCATTATTACTCCCAATACGCTCACATCTACCTCTCCAATAGTTCACATGCTGTCAAAGAAAAAATGTAGGCCAATAGCATTGCGTCTTTGGTTTAGTATAAATATAAACAACCCCAAAAAAAAAGGACCCTTTTGAGGTTAGTAATTTGTATGTGGTGACAACTGTTGATGATGGTTTTTGGTTGTTGCAGGTACGAGAAGTGGGAGCGGGACCGCGGCGGCGGCGGGGGCGGCGGCGGCGCGGGCGGCTCGTGGGGCGGGGCGGGCCGGGACCGGCAGCTGGACCGCGAGCGCGAGCGCCAAGCGCGCGCGCACCAGATGTCGCACGCGCACGCCGCCGAGCCGGATGCCTCGTCGCTCTTCCCGGCGCCGATCAGGGTTAGTACACAAATCAGCCGGCAGACTGTACATCTTTCCGGATCGCTAAAGCTTGAGACACTGCACTCGTAGAAAATGTTTAAGTAGCAGTAGAGCTCCTTGTGAAAGATTCGTCCAGGGAAGTACTGCCACCTTTCTTATTTCTGCCGCCAAGCAGTAATGTGAGCATTCATATGTTCCGGTTTCGAAGGGTAAGGGTGCTGGTGAAATTACAGGCACCTGGTACTTGTCCAGTGGCAGTGCCCCTCAGATCTTTGTGATTTAAATTATGTAATAATTATGGACAGCCGTATTGCTTACCACCAAGCGCACGATTTGTTTGTCCCGTCACTTAATATTATATAAAAAAATGTTATTTCCGTTATCTTTTCCAATAGATATTATGTCTAGCTCCATGGAAACTTCAAATATTACTCTCAGAAATATGTAAATCATATAGCAAAAGAAAACAACAATTTTTATTGTATATAACTGTTACAAAACCTTCTCTCGTAAGGGGTTCCACTTATTTAATATTTGACTTTTTAAACGGAAAGGCGAAGTTGTTTAAATTTTCTATTTAAGTAAAGACTATACGAGTTGAAGATAATCAAATACGTTTTGGTTTAAATAACAAATATTTACTTTGGAAATATATTTATTCACTTAACGTTTCACGTCAGAAATTGTATGGTAGACAGGTATCCTTCAATGCACACGAAGTGTTTTGCTCCCAAGTTTTCCTCAGAGCATTAAATCACAAAGATCTGAGGGGCACTGCCACCCGTCACCCTGAGACATAAGTTGACAAGGTCCATGTGCCTGTAATTTCACCAGCATCTTTACCCTTCAAAACATGAACGCAGTAATGCTGACATTACTGCTTGGCTACAGAAATAGGTAAGGCACTACTTCCCTGGACGAACTCTTTCACAAGGGGCTCTACTGCTACTAAATTAATCTCATAGAGATGTTACTTTTAGGAGTACATTGTTTTGTATAATATTTAACTTTTTTTATTTCTAGATAAAAAGACAAGCCTTAATAGCTTAACGGTTTGACCTATCACCTCTCAAACACAGACCGTGCGTTCTGAGTCTCTCGGAATTTATGTGCGACTTTTAATTTGAAATTTATCATTAGCTTTTCGGTGAAGATAAACATATCGAAGAAGGTCCCCAACGAGGACTATAACCTAAACCCTCGCCAGAGAGGAGACCCGTGCTCATCAGTGGGACGTATAAATAGGTTCATTATGATGAGTTGGAAAGACAAACGTTGATTGCATTTCTAAACTTTATGACTTAAGCAGGCACGTGTTCATTTGACAGTCTTTTGTTCTCATTCGACCGTGTCCTTTAACACGTACAAGTATTACCATATTATCTACACACATCAACATGCTATGGCTATAGTATAAAACTGATTGCTCCCACGAAGTAAAGATAATTCCTGAATATTTACGAAGCAAATCACAGTACAGCGTACAAATCAGCTAAAAGCAAAACTAGAAGCTAACGTATTGTAATAGCGCAAATCCATTTCGTTGTGAACGCGCATGTGTTGATTGAATTGGATAAAAAAATTGTAGAGCTGCTTATTGCTTGTCATACTTGCAATGCAACGAGCAGTAATTCCCGCGTGGAATCAGCAATGATGTAGATAAAAACGAAGATATATCAGTGTCATGTCAAAGTATAAATGAAATGCAATAAACAAATTTGGCTGTACAGGCGTGAAATAGTTACGGCGTTAAGGCTTCGCTCAGGACACGTTCCTTTGAACAAGTTTGGATATCTGATGTCAAAGGTTCCTTCACCAAACTGAGACATATGTGCGACAATAGAGGACGTCTTTCATGTGATAATGGAGTGTGTTAGGGGGAGGTGTTAAGACAACAGATTCCAGACTTAACGCTGTGTGCAGTAGGCATATGCAACAGCATCCTGGCCAGCCCCTTGTCTAAGGAGGTCAGAATGTTACTATCGCCCCTGAGGGTATATATTTATAAATATAAAACCCTCTAAAAAAAGAATGAAAAAAAAAATTTACTGACAATTTGTATCTGTCGTTTGATGATCACTTCGTTATTGAAGTCGTATCTATTCAAATAGTTTTATGAAGACCGAGACCATCGAAAGTCTGTAAGGGTTATGACGCGCGAACAATAATAGCTGTGGAAGAGGTCTCTAACTGCAATAGTTTTTGACGGCTTTGTAAAGACGTGTGGGGTTTGGCATTATCATGGTGAAATACGACAGTTTTATAATACACCACTTCTGAGCTTTTTTCATACATTGTAAATTTAAAACTTTCCCGCCTATTTTTAAAAAGCACGCTAAAATATTAGTTTGAAAATGACCATAGACAATATAACTTTTTAAAAGAAAAGAAATCTTTTTTGTTTAAATTTAGCTAATGGCAAAGAAATCGTACGGACTATTTGACCAACCCAATATAGATACCAATAAGTAAGAGCTCGTGAAGATTTCTTAAAGTTCTCACTTTAAAGTTGGTGTCGTCTTTATTCAGTGGTACCAAGAATGTCTTCGAATAATGTGGTACCGTCTTGTAAATGGTAATCGAAGTTGCCCAAGTAGCAGTTTGCGTAAGAGAGTGTTCACCTGACGATATCTAGCTACAGGCATTTCCAATACGCCTTGATAAACTTTTATTGACGATAAAATGTTACCATACCCATGGATAACATGGGTTGCAAATTGGAACGAAAATTTGCCGCAAAAGTAATATTTTGCTTCCCATTGTTCGTTTTCATTTGCGTGTATTATGTATTCATAAGCTGTTACATTAGGTTGAACAAAGCCACTCTCCGCCGAGACTTTTGTATCAGAGAAAGCAGGAGCGTGGTGGAATTTTTAATTTATTAGACTCATTTGAGAACCGGCTAGGTTCTCAAATGAGATGGAAAGATGAGACCAATGCGACGGGACGAACACCTATTGGTAAACGACACACTTACCCATAACATTTGCAGTGTCACTCAGAACTTTAGAAGATCTCATGAGGCACTGTCACTGCGCCCATCATCCTGAGACATAAAGTTGATTAGTCCCATCATAAAAAAGCTCCAAGTCATCAACGAGCTATGGAGCGAGCAGTGCTCAACATTTCTCTATGTGATAGAATCAGAAATGAGGAGATCCGTAGAAGAGCGAAAGTCACCGACATAGCTCAAAGGATTAGCAAGTTGAAGTGGCAGTGGGCGGGGCACATAGCTCGTAGAACTGACGGTCGTTCGAGCAGAAAGGTTCTTGAATGGAGACATGAACCAGAATGCGTTCAGCGGGACGGCCCCAACTACGGACGGATGACCTGGTAAGGGCGGCGGGTAATCGATGGATTGACGGCGCGTCCGATCGACGACTCTGGAAATCTTTAGGGGAGGCCTATGTTCAGCAGTGAACGTCTTCTGGCTGATATGATGATGATGTATCTAATTTCACCAGTACCCTTTAAAACCAAAACTGAAGTACCTAATACTCACATCACTGCTTGGCGGCCGAAGTAGGTATGCTGGCAGTGCTTCCTTGGAGAAAGTCTTTCATTCAAATTCATTCATTTCATTTCACAAAGAGCTCTACTGCTACTGAACTTCATTCAAAATGAAGTTTTGCTTGCTGTACTCGTCGCTGTATGCTTAGTTAAAAATCGTAAATAGAATCCTCTTTAATATTGTCTAAGAATGGTAATAATGTTTAGTTGTATGGTTTTCTTTGGTCTTTGCAGTAAGGACATGACCTTAGTTTAGCGTTAGTCTTTCAACTCGCGTGATAACCCACAATAAAAGTGAAGTACTTATGCGGTTTTATAGTCGCCCGCACGTGTCTAGCTTTGGGATGTAGTCGCACCAGATACCTTGGCGTTGATAGCTAGTAGCTATGGCTGCCGGTCCATGTAGTGAGAACTCTGATAACGTTATCTGCCCCTCTCGATTCCTTAGGCATTCTCGCACGAATGAGGGGGCGAGGAAGATCGAATGATTCTGGCCGTTGTCGCCAATGTCAGTCGAGTTCGAGGCCGTGGCTTGTTTACGCGTCGACGTTCGGTGATTACGCTTATACGATTCGCTTCTCCGCGAAGATTGTTGCCAAATCATTTGCCTAGTTATCTAATGTTGTTGGCTCCTCACCGGATAATAACGATAACGAGTGTTTTGCTTTTGATGTTTGTCTTTTGATATCCATTTTTACGTCATTGCAAGAACTCAAATCGCTTGTATGTTTACGGTTATTAATATCGTAAATAGGTGCCTCCGTAATGGCGTGTTAATAATAATCTTATTCGTGTTTGAATAGTGATTATTTTTCCATAACGAAAACGAATCACAAGAGTGTGTTATGAAGTCGTTATTGGTTTTAAAGCGACGAGCTTATCTCGGACTAGTGCGCGCGACCCACTTTTGTGCTGCATGCCACATATGTACCACATATGCTTGCTCATAAACATTCTCCTATAAACATCAAAGTAATTGTTGTTATTCTTTCATTAGTTTAGTATGAACGTACTATGCGTGGCTTTTAATTTGTCTCTTAAGACGTCTTTGGGACGAAAAAAACAATGATACAGCACTACAACACTTATTTGCCTGCAATTTAGTTTGAAAAATTCAAATTATGTGCAATCACGCCTGCCTTCTATTGATGTAGGGACAGACTATGTACTGCCGTTTTTTACTTTCTTGACATACCTCTTTCGTTTTCGGCATTAGCGCACTCTCTCTTTTACTTCTGCTATTTTTAATCGAACCCTTTCTGATACCTACCCATAATACCTGCAGTACCTCTAGGTCTTTAAATAGTACATAAAGTTGACAAGTCGTCGGGGATAGTGCAACTACGCGTAACTAGCATTTAATTACGAGTTTCCATTACAGTATTGTAGGGGTCAAATCAAATCCGCGTAAATGTCGTGGCAACCAAATTAGCGTCAGTCCCGTAGACTCTGTTGTTATCAGTCCGCAGACAACATAAATTAGTGCTTACTGTGCAGAAATCAAAGTC